AGCACATGCGTTTTAGACTCAGTGAGCATGCTTCAGAAACTCACAACAGGTAGTCTACGTTCCGAATGGGTAGAAAGCTTTCGGAAGTCGCAGTTAACCTCCACCTTACGGATCTACACACTTGGGCACTAAGGAATAAATGGCAATGAAAAGAGCTGACCAGGTGGCAAGTAATGCAACTTTAAAAACAGGAAAAAGCCTGGCAAAGCTGTTATCATAGCTCCGTACGGACTAGGCTGGGGGGTAGTTTTGAATCTCTGACGCTAACTGGATGGCAGAATCGATGCGTCAGTTAAGCTTGGCAAACCACGTCTGTGCCGTCTTTAAGGTAAAAATAGGAGATACTATAACCAACTTTTCATGGAAACAGTCAATGGAGGTACCTTGGAGTGGCTGCTGCATCGGAGGACTGAGCACGCATTGGAGTGCCCAATGTGCAAAGACGTCGATTGTGATGACATAACACAAATAAATGGAGGCGGGTGATCTTTGTAGCTATAACACAGAAAGCAAGGAATATTTAAGAAGAAGAATATGAAGTAGAAACACAGTGAGAATCTCTTATGAAAAAGAAATAATATAAATTAAAGCGGTGGCCGAAAATTTTAGACCACCCTGCTTGAAAAGATACGTCCAACCTGACAATCAATCACAGGTTGAACCACCGTCTTGCTTGCACAAGTCGCTCTCATTTAATGTCAGAAATAATATAAATTAAAGCGCTGGCCGAAAATTTTAGACCACCCTGCTTGAAAAGATACGTCCAACCTGATAATCAATCACAAGTTGACCCACCGTCTTGCTTGCACAAGTCGCTCTCATTTAATGTCAGAAATAGAGTGCTAAAATGTTACACAGTACCTGCTATGCTGTATGGTAGCGAATCTTAGAATGTTACTGAACAAATTACGAAGAGTTTGGAAGCAACAGATATGGATTCTGAGACAAATGTTACGAATACGTTGGGCAATCAGAGTGACTAACAACGATTGTTTGAAAGAAGCTAATAAAAGTAGGTCTCTATATACAACAATAAGAAAGAGACAAATTAGCAGTTGATGAACAAAGAAAGAGCAAAATTGAAAGAATAAGCTAACGGACTTTATTTTCAGTGTGTTCAGAACCGGACAAGTAGACTCCTTAATTATATATTCTGTCCTCGTCACCTGACTCCTTCCTTTTCAGTCATAGACAGGCTAAAACTGATTTTGTAAAATGAAGAAAATTTAAGCAATATATATATATATATCCGAGTTATATATATATTGCATACATTTTCTTAATTTGATAAAATACATATACGTGTGTGTGTGTGTGTGCCTGCGTGCGCGCGTGTGCGCGTGGGAGCGTGGGCGCGTGGGAGCGTGGGCGCGTGTGTGCGTGTGCGTGCGTGCGTGTGTGTGTGTGTGTGTGTCCCCCGCCCCCGTGTCATTGGAGGTTAGAAAAAGAATTCTTGTATCCTATATAGAGTCAGTTTTAACATATTACAGAAGAATCCTTAGAATTCGTCGGACTGCCCAAAACAAACAATTAAAAAGAGCAACCAATATGTTTTAAAAAAGGGGATATCTCGAAAATAACAAATCACAAACGTTAGAAACAGACAATCATCACTTTTTTGTCATGTTATTGAAGAAGGAAACTAGAATAAGTTGTGACCACTGGACAGACCTGTGGATAAGGAGACAGAGAAAGACAAGAGGAGGCGATTCTTTACAGCCTTTTGTCATGGCATGGAGGGTCTCAGCTCACGAACTGATACATGCTCTTGGAAATCGAATGCCTGGGGAGAGGCATGATTGCCCACGCCAGTCCACAAGGTACTTGATGATGGTGATGTTGATACGCAGACATTGAGACGTGACAGTTCTCATGTATAAATCCATGTATTTTTGTATTTTAAACTCCTTAAGAGTGATTGGTTTCTCCGTGTTGTACTCTTTACCTGCCACGATGTTCTGTGTTGTACTCTTTACCTGCCACGATGTTCTGTGTTGTACTCTTTACCTGCCACGATGTTCTGTGTTGTACTCTTTACCCGCCACGAGATTCTGTGTTGTACTCTTTAGTTGGCTCGATGTTCTGTGTTGTAGTCTTTACCTGCCACGAGATTCTGTGTTGTACTCTTTACCCGCCACGAGATTCTGTGTTGTACTCTTTACCCGCCACGAGATTCTGTGTTGTACTCTTTACCCGCCACGAGATTCTGTGTTGTACTCCTCACCTGCCACGATGTTCTGTGTTGTACTCTTTACCTGCCACGAGATTCTGTGTTGTACTCCTCACCTGCCACGATGTTCTGTGTTGTACTCTTTACCTGCCACGATGTTCTGTGTTGTACTCTTTACCTGCCACGAGATTCTGTGTTGTACTCTTTACCTGCCACGAGATTCTGTGTTGTACTCTTTAGTTGGCACGATGTTCCGTGTTGTACTCTTTACCTGCCACGAGATTCTGTGTTGTACTCTTTACCTGCCACGAGATTCTGTGTTGTACTCTTTACCTGCCACGAGATTCTGTGTTGTACTCTTTAGTTGGCACGATGTTCTGTGTTGTACTCTTTACCTGCCACGAGATTCTGTGTTGTACTCCTCACCTGCCACGATGTTCTGTGTTGTACTCTTTACCTGCCACGAGATTCTGTGTTGTACTCCTCACCTGCCACGATGTTCTGTGTTGTACTCTTTACCTGCCACGATGTTCTGTGTTGTACTCTTTACCTGCCACGAGATTCTGTGTTGTACTCTTTACCTGCCACGAGATTCTGTGTTGTACTCTTTAGTTGGCACGATGTTCCGTGTTGTACTCTTTACCTGCCACGAGATTCTGTGTTGTACTCTTTACCTGCCACGAGATTCTGTGTTGTACTCTTTACCTGCCACGAGATTCTGTGTTGTACTCTTTAGTTGGCACGATGTTCTGTGTTGTACTCTTTACCTGCCACGAGATTCTGTGTTGTACTCTTTACCTGCCACGAGATTCTGTGTTGTACTCTTTAGTTGGCACGATGTTCCGTGTTGTACTCTTTACCTGCCACGAGATTCTGTGTTGTACTCTTTACCTGCCACGAGATTCTGTGTTGTACTCTTTACCTGCCACGAGATTCTGTGTTGTACTCTTTAGTTGGCACGATGTTCTGTGTTGTACTCTTTAGTTGGCACGATGTTCTGTGTTGTACTCTTTAGTTGGCACGATGTTCTGTGTTGTACTCTTTAGTTGGCACGATGTTCTGTGTTGTACTCTTTAGTTGGCACGATGTTCTGTGTTGTACTCTTTAGTTGCACACGATGTTCTGTTTTGTACTCTTCTGTGTTGGCACGATGTGTTCTGTGTTGTACTCTTTAGTTGGCACGATGTTCTGTGTTGTACTCTTTAGTTGGCACGATGTTCTGTGTTGTACTCTTTAGTTGGCACGATGTTCTGTGTTGTACTCTTTAGTTGGCACGATGTTCTGTGTTGTACTCTTTAGTTGGCACGATGTTCTGTGTTGTACTCTTTAGTTGGCACGATGTTCTGTGTTGTACTCTTTAGTTGGCACGATGTTCTGTGTTGTACTCTTTAGTTGGCACGATGTTCTGTGTTGTACTCTTTAGTTGGCACGATGTTCTGTGTTGTACTCTTTAGTTGGCACGATGTTCTGTGTTGGGCCTCAGAACCCACACGGGAAGTTGCTATTTTAACTCTGTATATTTAATGGTGTAGAAACCTGTGATATTTATCCTTCTTCACTTTTATTATTTAGTATTTAAAATTCATCCAATTTAATATTCATCAATTTATGTAAGCATTTGTTTTTCGAAAGCATTTAACTTTCGTTCAACGTCTTATGTACTTGGGCATGTTTAATGGCATGGGGTAACAGTGTAATACCAATATAATTAAAATTACGTAACTTGATTTTATAACTATGTTTTTGTACAGACCTTTGGCCAACCCACACCAAATTTCTTTCTCACGTTCTATTTCAGGTCGATAATAACAAGTGCATAATTAAATATTTATAGAATTAACAAGATAAGCAGGCTGGGGATTAATTCTAATTATTAAATTAATTAAATCCTTGTTTTAAATGCTTGCACATAACATTTTTACGTCAATTTATTTTAGGTTATGCATCTGCTCCAATTCTTCGTCACTTTTAGCCTTATGGTTGAACGCGGTTTCCGGGTCCTCTCCATGGGTGATCCTCATCCGCATGGTGGCACTCTGTGCCACTGGGTGTTTATTGCTTTGTGTGATTTCCTAGTGGGGTGAAATTTACTTACCTAGATAGTGCATCCTGCTTCTAATAATATAGTATATAACTCGAAAAATTAAAGAAAGAAATTTGGAACTTTTGAGCTGAAATGCTCTAGAAAGATTTTTAAAATACAAAAAACCAACAACATTATCACAAAAAGGGGGGATTATAAAAGATCTTAACATAAAAGAAAATAGGACCCTTAAACAGCTTTATGTCGTGAAAAAACTTTGTCTATATGAAACGTTATGGCTTGGAAAGAACGCTAAGCAGGGCATGCTACCATGTAAAAGACACAGGAGTCGACCAGTAAGTACGAAGGTGGTCACATTAGATGAGAGTTACATTGGACAGGAAAGTGCACGACGCGAAAAGGCTAGCAAAGGGCAGGTTTTCTTCTGGCGGGTTGTGACTGAAGCCCTGTGTCATGAAGGACCTGCTTTATGATGGTGATGGGAGCCGCTTGCCGGTTAGACGCTCACTTGCAGGTTGGAGAGTCGTGGATTCAGGTTCTGGCGGAGTCCGACTTTCCTCAACAATGATTTGGGTTCACAGATCGACTCAGCCTTAAAGGGTACCAGGTAAGTCCTGGGAAGTTAAGGCGGCCGGCATGATGCTGACCATATCACCAATAAAGTGCACTTAGGACGTGGAAATAGGTTATTTACTTTACTATATGACAACGATTACGGCACAATGTATGCGTTTAACGGTGGATAGTGCATATGATAAATTCTAATAACTGATTTTATATCTCCAGGTCTCTGCGGCAAAACTGTATACAGAACTTTCCCTTGCGGACTGTACAACACCTGGATGTGAGGGAATTGTAAGGATGCCCTACAGCTAGGTTCTCTCGTTTTCTCATGTTGCATAAACAGCCAGCACTAGAGTTAATGTTCCCAGAATATACATTAAAGTAGAGGACATTGTTCTCGTATTACTGGGGAAGTAAAGAATAGTTAACATGCACCCTATTTTGCCCGGGTATTCAGATGTGTTTGGGAATGAGCAGGCAGATAAGCTGACTGGATTGGCCTTACTTGGAAGTGTACTGCAAGTGCACAAAGCAGAGGTGATCTCTAACCTGTGCGAAAGGTTAACAGATGAAATGTAAGACACTGAAAACCTGTATTGGATAGAATGTATTGGCGACGATTGGTTGGTGGTCTTTGGGTGCCACTCAAGACTCATAGGGAAGGCAAGAAGAGCAGTTGGGTACTATCAGTATGGAAGCTCTTCGTTGTCTGTTGCGGAGGAGACAGAGATAATATGGGCTTGTCCTGAATGCTGTGATGTCAATCTGTACCTGCCAAGCATGTCGTAAAAAACCAAGAGTAGGATTGAGAAAATGGTTGGCTACCTCATCCAGTAAAATAATATTAGCTGGAAAAGCCAACCAGTCATTCACCAGACTAAAGGAGAAAAACGTTTTTACAAACCAATCACAAATGGGATAAGGGGGTTGGGCTATTTTAATGTAATAACACATGAAAAATAAAACTAAATGGAAAATAAAGTTTAAAACAACGGTTAGGGCGTAGAGTGAGCTATATGTGATAGCAAAAGATAAGACCACTTGGCATGCGTTGGTTAAGGGTATAGGGTTGTAAGGGGATGGGGAATGATGGGTAGAAGAAAAGAAGAAGGAAGAAGAAAAAGAAGAAGAAGGAGGAAGAAGAGAAAAAAGAAGAGGAGGAGCAGAAAAGAAGAAGGAGAAGCGGCCGAAGAAGCAGCAGCAGCAGAAGAAGAAGAAAAAGAAGAAGAGGGAGAAGGAGAAAAAAAAAGAAGAAAAAGAAGAAGAAGAAGAAGAAGAAGAAGGAAGAGGAGGAGAAATTGATAGTAAAATAATAAAACCTTACCATCAGATTAGCAGGTCAACATCCTCTCATTCAAACAATATACACTCAACATATTTTTTATTGACAGACATATGTTGCGCCATTGTAGTTAAATGTGTAAAATATTTTCCATTGTCCCCCACATAACTTTATGTTATACCCCAGCACAACTGAAACGGTTTAGACAATAAATACATTTGTGGAAGAACCTGGGGCTCAACACCTCTATCTGTAAACAAAGCCGTTGGCTGAAAGAAACATCAGAGATGTTTCATGTGCTTAACTGTCTTATATGGTTTCCTCTAGTATTGCAGTAACATTATTTGGGAGCAAGCGAGTACGGCTGTACTTTTAAATCCGTAGACAGCTGTCTGTGGCTGTCCTTTAAATAACAGTCGCTAGCTGGAAGGCGAAGGCCGATTAGTCGGAGCTCACTCCATTGGCTGCAGTGCAAATATGGAGCGGACAAGTCACGAATCAAAAAACAAAGTGAGGTCGACATGCTTGCTAGAGCTAGACCACGCGCTGCGACCACACTAGCGACCGCGGTCTTGCGAAGCAAGACTCTCGTAGACCACGCACTGCGACTCCCATTAGCGACCGCGTTCTTCCGATGCATGACTTATAGACTGTAGATGTGAGACCTGCGGATCTGTATGTCGTAATGAGCGATAAGCTTCCGTCATTTCCATGATGTGTCACCCTAACCCTACCCCTAACCCTACCCCTAACCCTACCCCTAACCCTACCCCTAACCCTACCCCTAACCCTAACCCAAAAACTAACCCTACCCCTAACCCTACCCCTAACCCTAACCCTAACCCTACCCCAAACCCTAACCCTACCCCTAACCCTACCCCTAACCCTACCCCTAACCCTAACCCTACCCCTAACCCTAACCCTACCCCTAACCCTACCCCAAATCCTAACCCAAACCCTAAGCCTAACCCTAGGATGACAGGTAACTATATCATTTGTTTCATTCCCTCTTTACCACTCCTTATTTGCACTGCAGCCAAGAGAGTGAACTCCAACTGAGCGACAGTCGCCTTCCAGCTAGCGACCGTTATTTAAAGGAGAGCCCTGTCTTTTGTTCCTTTGTTTAGTGGTTTCTCTGATTCTGTCATTATTTTTCCTTACAAGAAGGTTGAGAGAGAAAGAGAGAGAGAGAGAGAGAGAGAGAGAGAGAGAGAGAGAGAGAAAGAGAGAGAGAGAGAGAGAGAGAGAGAGAGAGAGAGAGAGAGAGAGAGAGAGAGAGAGAGAATTTTAGCTTATTTATTTCATTTAAAGATTATTAGTTTAGCTAAAAATAACATTAACACTCTTGACATCTTTAACAACATTGACAGCTGTATGATTATTGTAATTTCTAGCACTCTTTTAAGTTTTTCATCAGCAGCCCTTTCATATTAACACGTATGTTATATTCTGAAGTCACTGCAGTGACTTGACCTTATTACTTTCTATTTTTGCAGTGGCGCAGTGGCCAGCTCACATGCAGTCAGCCTAGTAGTTCTGTGCTTGAATTCCTCTAGGTGGAGTATTTTAGGATACATTGAATTGAGGTTCTGGAATTCGTTGAGGCCCCTGCAGGCTGTGAGGCCTAAGCTGTATAGTGTAGTTAGCTTGAGCCTCAATCCAGAACTTACTACATGGATGAACCATTGCGGATACGGATCTAGTATCATATACTTGTGGCCTTCAAAGATACAGATCTATCAATGAAATTATACATAGAAAAGAGGGTCTGGAACCTAAGCATATTTAATCCCCCCTCTCCTACAAATGTTAGGGACCAGATGAGGGTGGGGAGATCAGGGGAGGGCTGGGTTGAGCTGCCTTTCTCCCAAGTATGTTTAGAAGTTTATGTTTCAAATTGTTATTTATAAATGTCATATGGTTTCAAAAATTAAATTTATTTATTTGCCATTCCACACAGCATTATTATCATCAGTATTACTAAACACTTAGCCTTCTCGAGGCACCTTTCATTAGAACATGTGTAAGAGGGCTGAATGCCCCTCTGCCCGTCCACAATATCTTTTTGTCAGTGTTTCTGTCATTGATTTATAGGGACATAAAAAAAAGCATATTCTATAAACGATCTATCTTTCTATAAACGATCTATCTTTCTATAAACGATCTATCTTTCTATAAACGATCTATCTTTCTATAAACGATCTATCTTTCTATAAACGATCTATCTTTCTATAAATGATCTATCTTTCTATAAACGATCTATCTTTCTATAAACGATCTATCTTTCTATTAACGATCTATCTTTCTATAAACGATCTATCTATGTGCCCTTGTTTCATCATCAGGTATCTTCAAGGGAATCCACTGAGATGCAACTGTTCCAATGCCTGGATGCGCAACTCTTCACGAATTATTGACGCTGAAGAAGTCACATGTGTCCACACAACTACTGAAGCAGACAGCGTATGCCACCTCAACAAGCATGCAGTCAAAATAGAAGATAAATTTGCTGAAGTCACTAACAGCACACCTTCCCTAGGACAGAAGTTAATGAGTGCAGAGAAACTGTTTCCGTGTGGTCAGTTTTATTTTGTGAAATGTAATGCATATCAGTAGCTGCACATTATTATAATTGGTAATATAATGCAGTCATGGTTTCACAGTCATGGTTTCACAGTCATGGTTTCACAGTCATGGTTTCACAGTGGAAGATTTTATACAGTTATATACAACCCATCAAATGGTCAGATTTCCGAACCAATACACAAATAAGGCAAGAATCCAGGCAAGAGTATGTGTCTAATTTTATACGAAAACGCTGCTGGAACTATGTCGGCCACGCCCTTAGAATGGATAAATCAAGACTTCCTTACTAAGCCCTCATTTGGACACCACAGGGGAAAAGATCTCGTGGAAGACCAAGGGAAACCCTACGTAGAACTATCATCAGGGAAGGCTCGCTCATGGGCCACTCAAACATCCAAGACCTACAACGGATTGCAACGAACCGCCATGCATGGAGAGTCATGACCTCTGCCCTATGTGCCGCACTCGACACAAGAGGAAAGACTAACTAACTAATATACAACCCATAGTCAGCCTTATTTTCACCTACCTCGAAATGTGTGAGGTGGACTAAAGCCCCACCCCCCCCCCCCCCCCCCCCCCCCCCCCCCCCCCCCCCCCCCCCCCCCCCCCCCCCCCCACCCACCACCCTTTTCCCCTTTTTTTCACATACAAAGGACAGAAGTTAATGAGTGCAGAGAAACTGTTTCTGTGTGGTAAGTTTTATTTTGTGAAATGTAATGCATATCAGTAGCTGCACAACTCCAGAATTTGTTGGCTATTTAGGGTTTTACTAGACAATTTTATGTTCAGTTGTTTGCCAGTGCTCACTTCACTGCCGGCTCTCAATACTATTGTCAACATCAACATAAGGCGGTCAGCTGACAAATTAAAATAACTCAACAGATCCTCTTATAGTCCATGCTGTGAGGTGATGGCAGTCTTGTCTAACCACACCCTTCTGTCTCATTTACTTTCAGTCAATTCTTACACCGATGCTCTTCCATGTGAAGGAAAGGACCCTTGGCATATACGGCTAGATCTGTATTTTTTTTACCAGTCTGCATTCAAAAGTTGATATGGTCCAATCACCCTAGTCACCTTTACTTCCCAAGAATTTACCTTGTATCCATTTAAGGCTTGGCTGACCCGGGAGCCGGCTGGTTTTTGAGAAAAAGTCAAGGATTGTCAAGACCTGAACCCTCAACCTTCAGGTCCGCTGTCAAAGGTCTAGCCATTACGCTTTGTGATCTTCCATGCCATGATGTCAAGCTGTCCTGCATCTTCTCTGTCTGTCTCCTTCTGCCTCTTTCCCCCTCCGGCTTTCCCACTATCATGATGCAGTCCAGTTTTCCCCTTCTCACCGGCAACAGCAAAGAATTCACATTGTCTTTTTTTTCATGTGGGCAGTCAGTTCTCTTTATCAGTAAATTTCCTTAAAGACATCTTGAAATGTCTTTTTATCTGTTCAGGGAATTCTTATAATTCATCTATAAAACTAATTCTTTGCCAGTTTTGTGAAATGTTGCCTTTGCTTGAGCTATTCTATATTTTGCTTCTTTAATACACCTTCCATCTGCTGTAATCATGGTATTCCAGTACTCAGATGTGTCCATTTGCTTGAGAACCTAACACATAAATACTATTATTTCAGAACCAGCCTGTGTGCAGATTGATAGTGACGTCATCGAAGTGCTAGAAGGGAGTGATCTCAATGTTACATGCAAGACATGTAACAACCAGACAGGTGTAGTTATGTGGCAGGTTACAAATCTGCACTCAAATTGGACACAAATGTTAACTGCAAGTGGACATGTTCTACGGCTACACAACGTCAGCTCTACCGATCATTTCAAACTGGTTACCTGTACTGGAAACAATACTGACAGATCTAGTACCATTACAACAAGAATTCTTATTCCATGTAAGGTTTCAGACTTTTGAAAACCAGAAATCTATAAAAAAAAATTTTATTACTGATAGCAAAATAGGTTTGTTAAAATGTTTCATGTCATTGTTAATAGTAATATAATGTATTTTCCAGCTGAGACTGGATACAGGGGAAAAAAATTATTTTATAGCTGAAAGTGTTGTTTGTCATTTTATCTTCCGTCTTTTTAGTGCAGTCTGGCATGTCACATGATGTATGTCAGAGGTCAGCAAGTCATACTTCTGCATTTGTTATTTCCTAGACAGATTTCAATAGTTTACACTATTTCACTAGTCAAAGTTCTCTAGTTTACACTATTTCACTAGTCAAAGTTCTCTAGTTTACACTATTTCACTAGTCAAAGTTCTCTAGTTTACACTATTTCACTAGTCAAAGTTCTCTAGTTTACACTATTTCACTAGTCAAAGTTCTCTAGTTTACACTATTTCACTAGTCAAAGTTCTCTAGTTTACACTATTTCACTAGTCAAAGTTCTCTAGTTTACACTATTTCACTAGTCAAAGTTTCTCTAGTTTACACTATTTCACTAGTCAAAGTTCTCTAGTTTACACTATTTCACTAGTCAAAGTTCTCTAGTTTACACTATTTCACTAGTCAAAGTTCTAGTTCTATTTCACTTACACTAGTTTACACTATTCACTAGTCAAAGTTCTCTAGTTTACACTATTTCACTAGTCAAAGTTCTCTAGTTTACACTATTTCACTAGTCAAAGTTCTCTAGTTTACACTATTTTAGTCAAAGTTCTCTAGTTTACACTATTTCACTAGTCAAAGTTCTCTAGTTTACACTATTTCACTAGTCAAAGTTCTCTAGTTTACACTATTTCACTAGTCAAAAGTTTACACTATTTCACTAGACAAAGTTCTCTAGTTTACACTATTTCACTAGTCAAAGTTCTCTAGTTTACACTATTTCACTAGTCAAAGTTCTCTAGTTTACACTATTTCACTAGACAAAGTTCTCTAGTTTACACTATTTCACTAGACAAAGTTCTCTAGTTTACACTATTTCACTAGACAAAGCTTTCTAGTTTACACTATTTCACTAGACAAAGTTCTCTAGTTTACACTATTTCACTAGACAAAGTTCTCTAGTTTACACTATTTCACTAGACAAAATTCTCTAGTTTACACTATTTCACTAGACAAAATTCTTTAGTTTACACTATTTCACTAGACAAAATTCTTTAGTTTACACTATTTCACTAGTCAAAGTTCTCTAGTTTACACTATTTCACTAGACAAAGTTCTCTAGTTTACACTATTTCACTAGTCAAAGTTCTCTAGTTTACACTTTCACTAGTCAAAGTTCTCTAGTTTACACTAGTCAAAGTTCTCTAGTTTACACTATTTCACTAGTCAAAGTTCTCTAGTTTACACTATTTCACTAGTCAAAGTTCTCTAGTTTACACTATTTCACTAGTCAAAGTTCTCTAGTTTACACTATTTCACTAGACAAAGTTCTCTAGTTTACACTATTTCACTAGTCAAAGTTCTCTAGTTTACACTATTTCACTAGTCAAAGTTCTCTAGTTTACACTATTTCACTAGTCAAAGTTCTCTAGTTTACACTATTTCACTAGACAAAGTTCTCTAGTTTACACTATTTCACTAGTCAAAGTTCTCTAGTTTACACTATTTCACTAGACAATGTTCTCTAGTTTACACTAATTCACTAGACAACGTTTTCTAGTTTACACTATTTCACTAGACAAAGCTCTCTAGTTTACACTATTTCACTAGACAAAATTCTTTAGTTTACACTATTTCACTAAACAGTTTTCTACCTATTTCACTGGACAAAGTTATCTAGTTTACACTATTTCACTAGACAAAGTTCTCTAGTTTACACTATTTCACTAGACAGTTTTCTAGTTTACACTATTTCACTAGACAAAGTTCTCTAGTTTACACTATTTCACTTCAAAGTTCTCTAGTTTACACTATTTTCACTAGACAAAATTCTTTAGTTTTTATTTCACTAGACAAAGTTCTCTAGTTTACACTATTTCACTAGACAAAGTTCTCTAGTTTACACTATTTCACTAGACAAAGTTCTCTAGTTTACACTATTTCACTAGACAAAATTCTTTAGTTTACACTATTTCACTAGACAAAGTTCTCTAGTTTACACTATTTCACTAGACAAAATTCTTTAGTTTACACTATTTCACTAGACAGTTTTCTAGTTGTACCTATTTCACTGGACAAAGTTATCTAGTTTACACTATTTCACAAGAAACGTTCTCTAGTTTACACTATTTTACTAGACAGATTTATCTAGTTTACACTATTTCTCTAGACAGATTTCTCTAGTTTCCACTATTTCACTAGACATTTTTCTCTAGTTTCTACTATTTCACTAGACATTTTTCTCTAGTTTCTACTATTCCACTATGTTAAGATATAGGTTTTGATTTTCACTACTTCTTTGGGTTGAGGTTATTAGGTTTTCATTACAAGTCTGTGATGTGGATAGCAATACTGTATCATCGGTATATCACATCTCTGGTATTTCATGACCACCAATATTTACAACATCATATTGCTCTTTGACATCATATTGATCTCTGAGATTTCTCGTCATATTTTCAGTGTACAGGTTAAACAAATAGGGGGACAGCATACAGCCCTGACGGACTCCTTGCTTGATGTCAAACCAATATGATGTCTCTCCATCTATTCTAACCGCTGCTTGTTGGTCTAGATAGAGCATTGTTATGATGTGTACTACATGTAATGGAAATCCCATATTTCTCACAATTTCTCAAAGTTTCTGATGTTGTACAGTCAAATGACTTTGAATAATCCACAAAACATGAGAATAAGTTTACATTAAATTCTCTGGACTTCTCTATTATTAAATGAATGTTGAAGACTTGATCTCTTGTTCCTCTTCCTTGCCTAAATTCAGCTTAAACCACGTTAATCTCTTCTTCCATATTTCTACGAAGTCTTCCCATTATAATTTTTAGTAGAATTTTACTTGCATGACTGGTCAGGGCAACAGTTCTATAGTTGGTGCATAATTTCAGGTTGCCCTTTTTTGGTATTGGAATGAAGATAGTTCATTTCCAATCATTTGGCAATGTACCATATTTCCGTATCTTTTTACATACTGCGTGATAAATTTGTATGCTTTCTTCCCCTCCCGTTTTAATTAGTTCAGCTTTTATCTCATCACATCCTGGTGACTTACCATTCTTCAGGTTCTTTATTGACCATTCAATTTCAACTAATGAAGGCTCAGGTTCTGCCTCTGCTGTCACTGGTTGATTTATATCATTCCTCACAGTCATTCATATCCTCACAGTCATTCATATCCTCACAGTCATTCATATCCTCACAGTCATTCATATCCTCACAGTCATTCATATCCTCACAGTCATTCATATCCTCACAGTCATTCATATCCTCACAGTCATTCATATCATACATTCCACTGCAGTATTTCTGCCATCTTTCTAGAATTTGTCTAGATTAATCGAGGTTGAACATTTCTTGTCAATAGCTTTATTTCTTTGAACATTTCGGAATCCTATACACAGTATACGAATCTAAACTTTTTTAAAACTCTAAATACATAGTATACAAATATAAACTGTTCTACAACTCTAAATACACAGTATATGAATATAAACTGTTTTACAGTTCTAAAGACACAGTATATGAATATAAACTCTTCTACAACCTTTATACAGTATAGGAATATAAACTGTTTTTCTATGTCCTTATATGAATATCAAATAAGAAATAAATAAAATCACAGCAATGAAGGTTCTGTGTCAAAGTTTAAGGTTAATTCGATAGCATAAACTTCATTGCACTGGGTAATCCTATATAATAGCTCAGTCTCTATCTGCAGAACGACTAGGTGACTGCCGAGACCGTCACACAAAGCTTGAAATCCATATTGCCATTAATGATCCCTAGGGATCTCTGTGAAATTTGCACCCGTGAACTGAACGACCCATGACCTTCAGAGTATGAGACAGCTTGATCACTTCACCACCAAGTCCTCCATTTATATTTCCAACTCACGGTAATGTCTATAAAAACTATAACTACCCCTGTAGTAACTATTCAGGAGTAATGCTTAACACCTGCGTGCTCGTAGGTATCTGAAGACTTACTTATTGGTAAATACACTATTTTTGCTATTTAACTTTTTATCTTGAGTAAGTATTGATGTTCGTAACAGTTTAATGAATACAACAGTCACTGCTTTGCAGTTTCTACAAATTTTTTTTAAAAACTATTTCTTTGCATGCTGACTATTGTTTACATGAACATTAAAAAGCACCATTGTTTACAGAGCCTTGTTTTGTGTTTATTTCGCAGCTTCGCCGATGATTACTAGCTTGGATTTTAGTTTTAAAAGCCCAGTGCTAACTATCAGTTACAGAATAACTGGCTGGCCTCCTCCTGAACTAGAATGGATCAAGCAAACACAGTCTCTACCTAAAAGTGCATTCATTCTGGACACAGAAATGATTCTGAACAATTTTGGTGTCTTTACGGGTTCTCGAGTCATTAGTCCTATAGGACTAAACTCAGATGGTGTGTACACATTGACTGCAACAAACAGAGAGGGTACAACAAACAGAACAGTTAATGTTACAGGTGTGTACTTTGTTCTAGTCTATGTTCATTATAACAAGGCATTCTATAAAAATATAATTACATTATGCTGTAAATTAAAACCCCAAAAAGGGCTTTTTTTTTTAATTTTATTTGTTAGGCATAATTTTTCTTCAGTGCTTCTATAAAAGATACTGTGCGACGAGTACCGGCTCTTTAATTTTAGACACTTTATGGTGAGTACCGGCATTTTTTTCTGCAAAAATTCCTGGCTGCAAATAAAATAAGAGATCTGATATCCGTACATTTTAGCACAGTACATAGATTGTGCTAACCTTATATTATTATAAACCAATCAACACTGACTGGTGATGTGGTCAGTATCGTGCCGGCCCTACCTAATTCCCATGGCATTTTATGGTACCCAGTTTGAGAATAGGTGGTCCTATGAGCTCAGGTCAGTGTAAAATGTTGCCCCACTGGGGCTTCAAATCTTTGACCACTGGTCAAAGAGCCAAGTGTTCCTACCCATTGCACTACTGTTACTACTCATTAAAACATTATTAGAACCACCATCGAAAGTTTGACAAAATGGTAACAGTGTGCTCCTGTGCCCTCTCCTCATCTTACTTAATGCTAGGAGAGGTTTTCTAGTGTAAATAACAAAGGTAAAAAATCCAGGGGAAGATAAAGTGCAGTCCAAAAATTATCTACATCTCAAGTCTCATCTGTTTTCTGCAAGTTCTCAGTCACTTACTTCAGTAACTTTTACTCTACACAGTAAGGAGTGGGTACAATATGAAAGGTGGCGCCTAATTGTCCGACCACCATTGTTGATCGAAATTGAAGCTATGGAGACTGATCCAGTGACTTAAACAAGGGACATACTTAAGAGGCCTAATTTAAGTTTAAGAGCATAATAATAATACTATGCTGAAGGTAAATCAACATAATAATACAAGTGAAAAAAAAAAGAAAAATGAATAAACAAAACTTTGAAAAAAAAAAAAAAATTTTATACGTGGTTAAACAGGGTTGCTTAGCCCTGGCCTTCCCCTCCCCCATCCCCTGAAAAGAATTATGGGGCAAGGGGGCAGATGGAGGGCCTCAAGAAGTCTAAGCCCTCAGGTTCTGGCCATCCATACTTCACATCTCAAAGACAAGTGTTGGCTACTAGGCAACATTTACTTTTAATCTTTATTATAATATTTTCAGCACCAGCAGACGTGACCTTTGTACCTACCCTACTTCCCAGTGACCCAGACAGCTTGCCAAAACCTGTGATCACTTTAGCCGAAAAATCCTCTGATGCTCATTTTTTATGGGGGACAGCATCTGTATTTGAGGTAACACATTTAACCTTGTTACTTTATACTGAAAGGTAAACTCAGACAATCAGCTTGTCTTTTACAGAATGTCGCTCTCTTTATAGTATGATTGAAAGTATATCCTTCTTTAACTCATTCCCCAGCCCTGTGTGCTTTCATCGCCAATGCATCTTTTATATCCTGTATATACCTTTGCGGTGGTCGGCTTCTGTCTAATGCTCCAGAAACTGCTCCCTCCATCACTGTTCTCTCTAGACCATCATGGTGCTTAACTAAAACTGAAAAAAAGTTAGTTGTGTATCCTTTACAGGACGATGCAGAACCAGCCCCTGGCTGTTGTGTGGTTTTTCTAGGCAAATTTAAGTCTAATAGTTTGCCATTGCTTGCTGGATGGACGGCTTTCTTGATACCACTGTTGAAACCAACACAAGGCCTATGGCCCGCAGCTGGAATTTAACCCAAAACTGAATAGCAGCTTTAAAAAAATAATTGCTAAAAAATAAAGATCTATAAATGTTGTTTTTCTTGTTAAACATAAATCATAACATTTATGATTTTCCCTTCTTTTACTGACTGACTGACTTTCTACCCCACCAGGACAGCACACAAGCGATAATCACCCGATGACATAATGTGCCACTATGTGGGTGAGGTTCACCGGGGAGAGGTCTCAGAAACCGCGTTCAGCCTTTAGGCCATATTTATGGCCGGGGTATATTGCGGCCAATGACAAGAGCCAGCGTAGGGCTCCAAATAATGAAAAATTTTGTCCTAAAAAAGGACAGGAATAGATAATGTATATCTCAACCCTTGTTTTATATTTATCTGGGAAAGTGAGTATACTGAAGTCTAAACATGTTCTGTGTTTTGGAATAAAAATATATTATCTGATTATTGTTATTTTTTGTTTTAAACCCTAAAGAAACCAAATAAAAGGGTGAGTAAGAGTTGTCAGCATTCTGACTTCAATATTTTAATCAACATTTAGGGAAACAATTATGTTTTTCTTCTGCATCACCTCCTTGTTTTTTAATACCCTTTGTCTGTTAACAAGCTTTTGTATTCCTTTATTAAAAATGGTTCGTGCAGCGGGGTGGGGGAGGGGGGGGGGGCGAGTGCACTGCTGTTTTCACTTTTTCATCGGAGGTGCACCTTATTCTTAAAGTGCTGCTTTTCAGGAAACAGAGCAGGTGAAGATCTTATGAAGCAAGATCAGGACAATAGAGAAATGCTTGAACACTAAGATAGAAGTTTTGCCGTATCAACGGTGCAGTCCGAGATGTATGGACAAGCATTGTCTTATAACGTTCCAATACCATTGGATAGAAAGTCCTCTGCTTTTAACCCCAAGTCTAGGTTTCAGCTCTTCAGTAAGCATCCCACCGCAACAGCTGTGTTGATTGTTGAACCTTGTTTTTTCTGATATGGCAAAACCTTGTTAACAAAAACTCAGTTAATGTGTACACAATTCATTATTGTTATTAGTCCCGAGTTGGCATGAACTTTTATAACATAGGCCACATTTTTGGTCACTTGGAATTTGGGTTAGTCAGGTTTTACCATAGATTTCAAATACTGGCCCAGACCTTACATGTTCACACTTGCATAGCAGTGTCTTTCAAAGAAAAACACCGACAAGACAATGCAGTCGACAGATGTTTGTAAATAAAAGGAGTACAGATTTTTTCGAACTCCTCTTGGTATTTTTCATGCCAAGTGAAGGATCATGACGCATGAGCAACACATGACCTCTACAATACTGCAAAGGCTTTGTGCTATGGAGAGGAGGAACTTCATCTCCAGCCTTAATTGATCTCAGGACAACAACAGAGAAATTAAAAGGCAGCAGTTAGGTATTGTAAGTCCTTGTCAACTGGCGTGGTATTACAACAGTTTTCTCAATTCTCATTCTCAGAAGGTGCAGGTGGCTGGATCACAGCTGGAGAATGCAGGATGGTAGAATTCTTAAGAACAGCCTCTATGGTGAATTACAGATGGATAGAAGTTGTTGGGGCTGGTATAAAGATGTGTGCAAGTGGGACATAAATGATACAGACATTCAGGTATTTATGTGGGAACAAAATACCATAGACAGTGTTGCCTGCAGAGGGCAGGTCAGGAAGGGAATACGAATAAATAAAAATAAAAGGATTGCAAAATGGATGAAAGCTCAGTGTCTGAGAAAAAGCACACTTAATGTATTTATTTGATGGCAACTTGAAATCCCTTGCTCTAATTGTGGAGGACTTTTCCTAATGTGGACGGGTCTGGCTATTCAACTTGTCCTCGCCATAGGCTGCAAGCCCCATGCCTCCTCATTGCTCAAAATAACCCTATTATCTGGAAAGACAGAAAGGTACCTGCAAAGTTCACTGTTCGTTTCCACCTTTTGATTCTATAACCAATGATATCTTGTTAATCTATTCAGTGAAAAACTGATTTGCTTTATGTGTGTTAAAATGAACTCAACAGTCGTCTGCTGGTTTCAGTTACAGATCTCCCTAGCAGTGACGTCAGGAATACTGATCACAGTTCTAGTTACAGTATTCTCAGTGTGTGTACGTCAGAGGTTGAAACATCGCCCACATGTCCCTAGCAAAAGAATGTGCGGTGCTCCAGTTGTCAATACGAAATGTCACAGTTTTCAAGAAGAATTGCCTTTAACTGGTCTCCGTTTAGTCGAGAATCCATATTACAACAGGAGTAGAAGTAAAAAGCATCTTCGCACTAACACATGTGAGTATCATCTCATTTTAATAACCATTTATACAATTACCAGTCAAGCAGAATGACTTTTTAACAAACTTATATTTTCTTACGACACTGTGTTCAGTTAGTAAGACGTTTTTTTTGCAGATTAATATTACCTTTATTACTTTGCAAATATACTAGGCTTAGATCCCTTTAGGCCCCAGAACAATTTCAATGAGGCACAGACCCCCCCCCCCCCCCCCCCCCCCCCCCCCCCGGCCCATTTTTTTAAATACCCCTTAATATTTTACATCACTGTACATAAAACTTACATCTTCATCTAACGACTACCTCCAACTGAACTGTTGGTAATACAACTATGTTTTATGCATCGTACCAAGGCATTGTTGTCCTCCACCTAGACGTGTATTCAGCTATTGAACATAATCTTGCTAATCGAGTCAACTCATGTTGTCATTCACAGGATCTCTGTACCATGTGATAAGCACATATTCGGTATTTCTTTGTGTACCTAGTATTGCTTGACCCCTATTTCTAAAAAGAAGGTCATGATAATGATCAGCATGACCTTTACCCAAATATCAGTTGACACAGAGAATGGGAAACATATACATCACCTCCAAATCAGGGGCTTAAAGAATTAGAGGAGTCTGTCAATGACTTTTTCTTCTTTTGTTGTCTCACTGATACAAGGTTGTAGCCCAGTGTCATGATTTTCTGTATTTGTCTTGCACTACTCGGGTGGCTTGGGTGATAGATTTGTTCCTCTTTTTTGTAGGTTTTGGGTTACACCATCGATCCGTGCTTTTTAAGTCATCCTCTCGCTTTCTTCCCAGATGTTATGCTGTAAAGTCTCATATGCAGTTCAGTCGCATATGCAGTCATTGACAGAATGAAATATATAAACAACATGCATGTATGCATGCAAGTGCCAGAGAATTAATGTGAAAATAAGCTCACAACAGACAGATACAATGGTGGTAGGTAGACAGTCAGAAGGAATATTAATAGAAGTAAGTAACATAAAGATAAAACAAACAAGTTAATTTATATATCTGTGATCAGTTGCATGTCCGAAGAGAGAATTGAAGAATCATTAGAGAAATCGACATATGATGTACTTAAGCAAACCAGATGCTGCAATAACTAACATCACTTTCGACACACAGAAGTATACCTGTGTATACCAAGGCAAATCTGGTAAGAACCATTTGTTGGCCAACTTTATGTTACCAGTGTCAAACATGAACACTTAATCAGTGGCATAGCAATGTCAAGTCGTAGTCAACGCAACAAGTTTTCTCCACATCACACCCCCCCCCCCCTTCCCCACACATCTATTTCTTTCAAAACTATTTAGTGATAACACCCAGGATGTTCTGCCCCCCCCCCCCTTTCCATCCCCAAACTACCCCATTTCCCTTACACTAAAACTAATTACAGTAGAATCGTGCCATAGATGAGAAGAGATAACATGAAAAAATGAAGAAGACCAGGACTGAGATCAAGCATGCAGTTTAATCAAGAGCAATAGGTGAGATGGTTTGGTCATCTAACAAGAATGCCCTGGTACCAGCTGCCACACTGAAGAAATGTAGTGAGCACAGATTAGCTAGAAAAGAACACAGAATATGGAGTAACTAAATCAAGGAAAGCCTTAAAGATTTGAAGACCAACTTATACAACACACTGGAAAGGGCATACAGACAATCCTTACATCTTCCCCAAAACTCGAATGAAATAACCGGAGAAGGCAACAAAGAAGAAGAAAAAAAAGCAGCAAAATGTATTGTTGTAATCTTTTCCATTTATAATTTTTCAACATTTATTTGCGATAAAACTATGGTACAATTTCCTTCATCGTCAGGTATTAAAACGGTGAAACTGGAGACAATACTCTTAATGCACGTGATCGGTGAAGGAGCGTTTGGGAAAGTGTACTTAGGTAGCTGTCTTCATCTTCTCAAGAAAGATGAGTTCACTATGGTGGCTGTGAAGACGCTGAAGGGTGAGAGCAGCGATGCGTTGAAGAAAGACCTGGAAAGGGAGGCTGACATACTGGCTACTTTTGAGCATCAGAACATAATCACCTTTTACGGCATCTGCACTGAGGCTGAGCACTGGATGATGATATTTGAGTTTATGGAGCATGGAGATTTGAACAAGTATTTACGGTAGGTAATATTTCCCATACATTGAGTGTTTTACTGTCTGTTCCCAAACATACGTACAGTATATGCTGGTCCATGCAGTCACTGAGCAATTGTCGAGATGGTGTACTTTAATAAAACTTGGAGAGGGTGTATAAGGGGGGAGGGGAGGAAGGGGGGGGGGGGGATATGGAGATAGTCGGGTGGAGAGAGGGAGAATCATCATCCTCATGTGCCCTGCCAACTGGCGTAAGCACTTATGCGTCTCCACAGATCAAGATCCCTGGTTGCCTGAAACAGCTCTCTTGATGATAGCCCATCCAGCATAATCTCTCTTGGTCTTCCTCTACTCCTTTTTCCACTGATCTTTCCAGTTGTCACAATGTTTTCTAATGTCTTTTTTTTTAGAAGGAGAAAGAGACAGAAAATGGAAACATATTTTCACAAAACATTGCTAGATGGCTTGTTTCAATGTGCCACAAATTAAGTTTTTTTTAAAATTATGAACGCTGGAAATTAAACAAATATTTATAAAAGTTTGCAACTCACCACCCTAGAGATTAAATCAAGGAGCATGTGACATGAACCTCGACATATGAAGATCCAAAGTCCTAGGCAGGTTGTTTCCAACAGAAGTTTCTTGTGGTTTTATGCCAGTGGCATGCAAGTGCACTATAGAAGAGACTGGGACCTCATTGCCTAGACTCAGATGTTGTGACATTTTTAAAATTATTATTAACTAAGAGTTAACGGTTAAAGGTTAAAGTCGAGAGGATTGACTTTATTGCAATCGGGTGTTATCCCACATGGCTCGGTCTCTCTCCGCAGAATGTCTAGCTGCCTGCAGAAAGCGCCGCGCATAGCACGAACTCCCTAGCTCTGGCGACGATCCCCAGGGATCTCCGTAAAAATTGCACTCGTGAACTTAACAGCATAGCCTTGAATCAAGGCCATGACCTTTTTAATAAGATTAACTAGGAAATGATGAGCAAACAAATAACTGTTTGCAAAGACTGAGGTGAAAGGACAGAATATTAGAAGGGCCTGCGTGCAGAATTCTTAACCCTTTGAAAAAAAAAGTTTGTTCGTTAATTCGTTCGTATTCCCCGCGTGGGTACTGGGGCTCCAGTGAAGTGGAAAAAACGAATAGACTCAGTGCCTCCTGATAAGGTCGTAAAAGAATACTAATTAAGAGTGTTTCCTTCAAAATCAGCTCGCATCTGCCTACGAGGCAAGGAACCAACAGTCTGCATACAAATAAGCCAGATCTCTGAAACAGATGTGTATCAAAAACTGATGTTCTAGAATAAGAATACAGTTCAGCAGTGGATGAACAACTAAAACTTTCTCCATGCAGTTTAAAGCCACTGAATGCGAAAAAGACAAAAGACAGCTGAACGTTCCCAAAGACAGCAGTGGATTGGTGCGTTTTCCTTGCAGCCAGACTCCACTGTGAAGACGGAATATTTAATAAAATAATAAGTTAAATGGCAGAAACTGTTGGTAGCTTACATAGATTTAGTTTACTGACGAACATGAGGGCATCATGAATAGAGTAAAAGCACAATGAAGATGTCATGATATATATGAACAAAATATCTTGATATCTACAAGTGGTGTAGTGGCAAGACGCTCGTCTGTAGATCAAAAGGTCATGGGTTAAGGTCTTGACGGAGCCGGACATCGGCTCCCTGGTCGACGCAGCCTTAAAAGGGTACCGGGAAGAGTCCTGGGCAATAACAATGGCCAGCCTGATGTTGACCACATCACCCATATAAGTCTAGCCCTGTGTGCCCAATACACCCATGGTGTTGGAAAAGAAGCCTTTACTTACTTACTTGGCAAGGACTGTAAAAATTAAATATTTAGGTTTATGAACTGGCAATTTTAGAAAAAGTGTAATACCAGCACATTAAAGTTGCAAATGCAGTGATTGTTTGCTTGATAAAGTAATGAAACACGCATCTTTTAACGCACACACGAGATATGTGCACTGGCATACACATCATGTCACATGACTGGATTCATGTGATTTAAAAGCAGTGCAGGTTGATGTCTTACAATGAATGATATTTTTAAATAGAGAAAATTAAGTAAGTGAAAAACCGTTTTTTATGCCAGTTGAGTAAGGCTAAATGATGCTAAATTCAAATTTCGTCCGAGATGTCTGCCAAAGTTCCTTTGTTGACTGACAGAGTCTAAATGCCAACTCTAACACATGTCCGATGAACCAACAGAAAGCTTGTCCCCATGGTCGTAAGGTAGTCAACTGATCTAATTTGCTACGCAGCGACAATATCAATAATCGCCCCTGTTACAGATCACAATTTCGTCTTGTCCCTGTCCGAAAACATCCGGTAAAGTGCAGCAGGGGAAGATCGAGGCCTGGGAGTCATGACAGGTCGGCTTACCTTCCGAGACTGTATAGGAATGGTAATGGGCTAAAACAATCGTCGACGAGGGATCTTTCTACTGATGATCGGTGAACCCCTGCAGTACATGCTCCACTGTGAGCTATTTTTTATATTTTTATTGATAAACCAACTGGAACTCGATGGGTGCTAGGGTCAACATGATGAATTTCACCGGTTCTTTTTGATTCCCCTGTCATATGCTTGCTACCTACACTAGCCTTGCATTCAAACTATCTTACACAACATACAAGGGTTGGTCGAGAAGTAACCGGTGTGTACCATGACTCGTCATGCAGTTAATCCACCGATAAACTCACAACACTGTTGCATAGTTCACACCCAAACATTCATTGATTGACAGATAATGAAACATAACCCGAGGAGTTCCCCGTTTTACATCGTTCTTGCCCCGGGGTGCTTCACAAGTTGTCACCCACTTCCTGGGGCCTATGATCACTCT